GACGCACAAAATCGACTGCGGTCCGCACAAAACCAGTGTGGTCCGCACAAAAACAACCACGGCCGCACAGGCTTACTCTGCAGTGACAGGCTTTAGTATTTTGGCCATAACTTTCGCTACAGATGTCCAAATTACAATATCTTTACCTTTCTAGAAACTAACACGAAGAGCTACAACTTTCTTTTTTGAATCATCTCAAAATTCCTTGTAGATCAAAAGATATGAGCTTCTGAAGTAGGACCAGCAGAATGTTCTTCACCGCGGTCGCACACCATTTTGTGTGGTCCGCACAACACCTACCGCGGCCGTACTTCTTTTTGTGCGGTCCGCACAGCACATACCGCGGCCGCACTCCTTTTTGTGCGGACTGCGCGGGTGAGTTCCGAGGCCTGCAACCCTTCTGGACCTGCTACAGCTATGATTTTCAGCCTAAAACATCTCGGAACCTACCCGAAACTCCCGGAACTTCAAACCAATTGTACGAACACATCCCATGACATCGTTCAAACTTGTTCAAAACTTCGGAACGCTCACAACAGTATCAATCACCAATTTAACATAGGATTCAAGCCTAAGAACTCTTAAATTATACTTTCGATCGAAAAGTCTATCAAATCTCGTCTGAATGACCTAAAATTTTGCGNCGAACCATCGGAACTCACTTCTGAGTTTTCTAACATATAAGTCAACATCCGGTTGACTTTTCCAACTTAAGCCTTCTTAAAAGAGACTAAGTGTTTCATTTCTTACCAAATCCTCTCCGAACTCGATCTAATCAACCCGATCACATAAAACACGGATAACAAAGCGTAAAGAAGCTAAAATAGGGGAAAACGGAGCAGTAACTAATAAGACGACTGGCCGGGTCGTCACAGAAAGATATTGCAACAATTGTAGTATTTTATTTTAAATAATATGAGTGTACAATCTCTATGATTCCTCTGATTCTACTTTTCTAATATAAATTTAAGGGCATGTGAGCTTGATTTTGATTTGAATTTGATTTATCCGTCGCGGACACTTTGATTGTTGCCATGAATTGTATCATGAACAAGTAGCCTTGATCCTGAACGCCTTGTATTTAATTTGACTTAGTTCTTGATCTTGAATACTTTAATTGTTCTTCGTTCTTGAGCTTAAACTTGAACTTGATTATTTGAAGCTTGAAACTTGTAGAGAAATTTACGGTGTTTGATCCACGAGCTCTCTCTTGCTTATTGTTATAACTTCTGGTCTCTTTTCTGAGTTATGAAGACCCATATTTATAGTTGTGGAAGGGAGGAGTTATGATAAGAACAAACTCTTTCTGACCAATCAAATTAAAGTGTGACATGGCCGCATTTGATTGGCTAGAACATGTTACTTGCACACGTGGCACAATTTCATTGGCTTTTAATGTGACTTGGCATGCTTTGTCATTTTGATACGTGGCACGATCCTATTGGCTCTTCCGCTTAACTTGACGTGCCACGTCATTTGACACGTGGAACCAAGCTAGGCCTCTAGGAAGATGACATCTTGGGCTTAATAAAGTGGGCTCATCACTTTAGCCCAATTAAATGGGCTAGCCCAATCAATTAAGAATCATTTATTTAAGGGATTTTTCCATTCATATACACTATTTGAAACTTTATTACCCTTAATGTCCATGTTTAGTTAATTACCCCGCATAAATAAGTTTTGTTTACAAAATATATACAATCCACCTTAAATACTTATAAACATAATTGTTTTGTGACAATGTAGGAAGCAACAACAGAGGGACAAGAAGCCCATGTTGTTACAGATTATGTTCTTAAGGTAACAAAAGTTATGTCCAATAACTTCTTTAAATTTTCGACAATGAAAAAGTAGAAGAAATTTGATAACAAAGTGATTTGTGTATTCCATCTGCAACAGAGGGACAAGAAGCCTATGATGTTACAGAAAGTTTTTGGGTTTGAAACATATGGAATTGAAATGGCCATTTTTATAAAAGCTGGTTTTCTATAAACATTGAGCTTGCAGAGAACGTTTCCTTTGACATTTTTTATTTTGTTTGGTTGTTGGATACTAATTTGTTTCCTCAAATGCAATTTAATATGCAACCAAAAAGTCAATGCAATAGTTTTCTACCTCAAATGTTAGTATATTTACGAAATGGACTTACTACTTTACAACTTGGATAAAAAATTCCATATGATCTGTGATTTATATATATAGCGGTAGTGATAATGTCGCGTATGATTGCAAAAACGTTGAATTTCTGCTGTTTGATAGGTCGAACTGTAATGATACCCTCTCATCTACCCCCATTGCAAGTTTTTCCTAGCGAAAAAACAACATTTCCGAGTTCTTTTGTTTAACATTGCAGTCTCCACCCGTAACATATCCAAAAAAAAAAGTTAGTCGCTCATAAGATTTCCGCTATAAGATTTCCGCTACAACAGGTAGATGTATGTGTTGTTCGGTACAAATAAGTAATTAAGAAATTGATATTATTGACGAAGAAAACCACTGTTCTTCTCCATTCCTTTTTCTACCTTAAAAGGCTCTCAATCTATTAATTAATCCATCTATAACATCATATAAACTAAAAATAAACTGTATACAACTAATTATATAATATGCAACTTATTTATAACTTATCAACAACTTTCGTACATATTAAAAATAAAATCCATACAACTAAATATACAATATACACTTATTTATAATTTATCTACAATTTTCATACATTACTTCTACACAGTTAAATACAACTACAATATCATACAACTAAAATATAAATTTTCTACAATTTTACTATAATTTTTCTACAATTTTACTACAACTTTCCTACAATTTCGTAAGTATAATGTATGTCATGTCTTCTTCTTCTTCTTCTTCTTCTTCTTCTTCTTCTTCTTCTTCTTCTTCTTCTTCTTCTTCTTCTTCTTCTTCGAGTTTCAATCTGAAATTCAGCCAAAATCAAGTCTAATATTCACCAAAACAACCTCAAAATTGATATATAAACTCCAAACTATATTTTTAGTTGTTTGCAACAACACCCAATCCAAACAAATAATGGTTTTTGAAAATTCAAATTCAAAGCTTCAAAGCTTATTAATGGTTGTCAATGGTGGAATTGCTGCTCTTTTTCCTTTACTTTACATTACTGGAATTAGGGATTGAGAGATAGATACTTGGGATTTGTACGGTATGTAAAAATCTCTTTATTTAATCCATATATATTGGACCTATATAATTAATTCATTTATATATTAGCCCATAATGTTTATTTGAACCAATATATCTTGAATTTAAAATATAGTTCAAATTATTTAATGGATTTAATTTAAGTAAAATTTATATGCCTACAGTTACAGTTTATGAGCAGAGAAATAAATTTTTTTGAAAATTTTGAAAAAGTGACTTTAAAAAATTCATTTTCAAATCTTTTTTAAAAACTTGCAATATTTCATGGACAAATACAGCTTGGAAAGAAAAATATCGAAAAAAAGAAGAATTTTTTTTATGAACAAACGGGTCCAAGTCACTCCTAAGTAAAAATCAGTGACCGATAGATACTAAAAATTCCTATTAATAAGTAGGGCTTTGATAGGAAGATGTAATAGAGTAACTATTCGATTGTCATTTGGTACATTAAAATATGAAATTTATTTTTAAAAGAACTTTAAAACTCTAGTGGGCGCAATCTTATAAGCAAGCATCTTCCTGCGAATTTTTATAGTTTTTCTTTTCAATTATAAATATTAGGATGTCTTCGGTAAAGCTTGTTGCCGTGAGGACAATTGTTGATGTTATTATTCGAAATTTTAAAACAAGTGATCGTAAATACTTTTCTTGTCTTAAAATGGTTATATTCTAGTTCTTGGGGTATCATATCAAGTGATCCAGACTGCAATTTTGAAGGCACTCCTTTGTCGTTTTGATATGACAAAATCTCAGTATTTTATGTGATATTTCGAATATTAATTAATTGATATTCGATTTATCCTGAGTGCTGATTAATTTGAACACTTGGGTTGCAAAAAGAGACAAGAAATTGAGTGTGTTAACTATTTCAAAACAATCATTTAATTTGATTTGTTTCTTTCTTTGACTGCGGACTAAAATCAATTACATTCAATATTTGAAATTTAAAAAAAAAACATTGAGAAACGACATTGAAAAACTGATCTACATTATTCACTAGCGGATCAACAATTTAAAAGACATTTTTATGAGAATGTGGGTAATAAAAAAATAACTAAAATGACATTAATTAGTATAATTTTATTGGTATGATGGTCATAAAAAAATTTCAATGGAATGAAGGAGCTCTCCGGAAATTTTCTACGGATTTTTCAGCTACATTTGGTGTAAGACTGAGCTTCTGAGTTTCGGATTATTTTACTCATCAGTGAATATCATCGATAGTTTCTTGACAACTTTATCCGCCGAAACGTTATTGCAGTTTTCCAGTAAAAAATATTCTGAATAAAAATTTATTTAGATTTCCGATGGCATGTTTGTGGAACACTTCGTCGGAAATACCGTTTTCTGAGTCTATTTTGTTATTTGTGACGATTGCTCGATGGAAAGCCTGTGTATAAAGACTATCATACTCCCTCCGTTTCAATTTAAATGATACACAAAATTTAAGGGGAAAAAAAACTTTTGAAACATATGATCCTAAAAGCTTAAAAGGTAAAAGCTTTGTCGGGTATACATTTGTACGGCTATAAAAGCTTCTCATTAGGGTAAAGTTAGTAAAATAAAAAATTTAAAGTTAAATTGTTTCCATATATAGAAATATGTGATTCTTTTTGGAACGAACTAATAAAGAAAGTATGCCATCTAAACATAAACGACGCAGTAACTCATACTATTAACTAGAGAAGGAGCCTGACACCATTGGTATCTGGCAGCCTTTTGAACTCGCTCGAAAGTGACAGCAACTAAAGCCATGGACAAATTACGGATCATCCTTGTGCAGGGCAACACCCTCTCATAATATGAATGTGAATTCTAAAATCTTATACTAAAACATGGCCAAAGTACAGAGGGCCGCCACTCATTATCATTTTATTGTCTCGACCAAACTCAGGGTTCAGGCAACTTACATTTATTGCAGCACATTAGAATAGGGAAAAAATGCTTAAAGCTTAATGCTAGAATATTAAGTATCGCTTAAGGGAGTCTGCCGCTATGCCCCAGTGAATGTAGGACCATAAAAACTAAGCAGTATGTCTTTTACGGAAAAGAAATGGTACACAAGCAAAAACCTTGATGATAATTTATCAGTCGATATCCAGTTTCAGGATCCTGAGACAAGCGTGATAATTACAGACGCTTACAATCCATCAGGCAATAACCTGACCAAATAGACACTTGCGAATCTGCAAGATTTAGGAGACAAGTTAAGCAAAGAGAAGATTCTTGGAAACCATGGAAGCAATGATAAAATCTGCAACATTGATGGAAGAAGCAGCACTTATCTGATGGACACAACAAAAGGATAGAGCTTTAAGTAACCTTTCCCCACCTAGCCAAAGCGGGGAAGTAACAGCAGAAAGTTCGCTCTTGCTCTCCCCCACCCTTGTTACAAGGACTAATCACTCGACTCATCTTACTGGTGAGTGGTATGTCCTGTCATTTAGTCATTTCCTTTTATTACCCACCCTCACTTTCATCTACCACTAAACTCATCTTTATGTATGATTGCTACTTATGAATTTTATTAATCCATTGGGGTATGAAAACTGAAGTTTCAAGAGCCTAGTCTCGACAAAGACTAGTAAGCAACAGACAGTCAGACATGCCCACTACCCAAAATTCCTAAATGTATGTAACAAATACAATAGCAAAGGAGCTTATTGGAGATGCTTAAGCCACAAGGTTAGAAGTATAAAATGCCATTGAATTGGCATGCAAAAACTATTTTACGGAGATCAGCGTCATCAGCAACTACAAATGTAAACAATGACTATTCCAAAAACAGAAAAAAAGAACATGTAAGATGTTTTGTATAGGTAATGAACATGTAAGACGCTTGGTAACTCATCCACATGACATCTGAAAAATAACACGGGATGCATGACATTTGGAATAGACAGATATAACTCGGCAAATAGACCACAAATGTATAAACGCTGGTGGAAGGAATACTAGAAAAATTGGCAAGACAAGGACACAGAATTATGAGAAGTAGGAGATAAGGACAAGAGCAAGAACCTCGGGTAGTTTTTTACGGAACACAACTTCCAATCTGGCATCAAGTGTGTTCTCACACACAATTTTCCCATCTCGAGAAGCCAATACTACTCCTCCAGAGCTGTTGGGATAAAAAAAGATAAATTACTAAGAGGAGCTACTTAGCATTTCTGATAGATAATTGAAGCAACTTACCAAGAAGGACCATGTGCATTATGATGAGATGGGGCGGGTGGAAGGTGGATGTGGTCAACTATGATCTCAGGTGAGTGGACCATTGCCTTCTCTGCATACTCCTCCTTTGCAGCATCCAATACATCTTCTACCAGGTGTACATCATCTTTTCGACAACGCAGTAGGACAGAAGGCTCTTTAAGTCTGAGTAAACTCTGCAATCAAAGAGTAGCTCCCATCTTATTCCCAAAGAAAGAAGCAATATCAGTTCAAAAAGCCACCTAGTCCTATTGACAAGTCAAGCCACATTATGGTCATAGACAACACAAACTGCAAATAGCGTTTTTTTAATCATTGTATCTCCTTTTGGCGATAGCACAAGAAACTAGGAACTTGCAAAGGAAAAGAAGGATCACATTACAATGAACATTTTTTTGGATAGATATCACATTAATGAACATATGTGGCGAACTCGAGATTCTGTAAAGTAAAACTTTGGTTCTTGAAGGATCTAACTTGAAGAGAACAGAAATTCTTTGTAAGGCTAACCAAATGATTCCTTGGTATCCGAAACAGCAACCTTGCCTCCTGTAATCTTAGCAATTTAACCACTAGTGTGGACTAAATATGAGATTTATTTTCACAATCTATTTTATCAACATATTGTCATATACAAAATATATGATCGGAACTAAATAAGAATTCATAATATGGTATGCAACAGTGCAGATAATATGAATACATCAACATATCAACTGAAGATACTGATTATCATCTGATGAATAGCTTGTCTTTCATAAAATAAGCTGGCTAATTTTCTGAGTTTTGATAATTTGTTTCAGAAAATCTAGAAGCAAAGAACAAAATCTCATGGTAATGGTTATTACTCAAAAGTACCTGAACAATAAGATCATGAAGAAGCTTCTTATAGATATGATGGTTGTGGTGATGGCTAACATGTAAGAGCTCCTTTGCTGCTGCTTCCTTCATGGAGCTAACCAAGTCATCCTGAGCTTGGAGAACTTTGATCCGAGAGGCATTGAGTTGCATGGAATACTCACTGCAATAAATGCATAACAAAAGAAAGTAGAAGATTATGTTGGACAATAAAGTTGAAATTAGATAATTTATTAAAAAGAAAAAGTTCAATGTTCACCTTTTGGAGCCAAATCCAAACATCAATCAATGAAATTAAATCTCATTTAATCATGTGGCTTATTTGAAAAACAAAAACGAAAGGCCACAAACCCAGCACTATGTTTAAATAAGGTTTGCAATCACTTTTTCCACCATGAATTGCTGTTAAACAGAAAGGTTTTAATGATGAAAGTAGAAACAGAATCAGTGTAAAACATGGAAGCCTAAACATACAGTAAATACTAATTAGAAGTGTTGTAAACAATTCTTTATCTAATGGATACTCAATACTATGGACCACGGAGAATGTAAATCCATGATGATCCAGATTTAATTTTCAGCCTAAAAATGAAAGTTTCAAGTGCTAGTAAAGATCATATAATTACGAACGAATACAAACATTGGCATGCCAAATCAAGATGTATTTGTTATAAGTTAAAGACAACATCTTCTGGAAATCTTATATCAACCTCATTTTATTATCTTTGGGTCAGGGGTGGCCCTTCCATAAAGCAAGTAAAGCAATCGTTTTAGGCCCCAAATTTGTGGGGGGCCCATTTTTGTTACACCTAATAGACTATATATAAATTTTAAAAAGAGTTATGTAAAGTAAAAAAGTTTGATTTCTTTCTTTAACAAATATAGAGAACAAGGATTTGCAACTGCTATGATTACTACCAAGCAAATTGCACTTGAAATGAATAGCGAACCTGAATTTCGTAAGAAACGTTTGATATATAGGAAGTAACAATTTGATGTGAACGTTGATAATGAGTTCTCAAAATCTTTCGAAGAGTCCTTAGAGTTGATTACTTTTATACATAACAGACAAGGCTATTTTTTCACTTCAAAATAGATTTGAACAATTCGAAGCATTTGAAAATATTTTTGGTTTTCTATTTGGCAGTAAAAACTAAGATCATTAGATGTTGAAAATTTGAAAAAATATTGCCTTAATCTTGAATATTTCTTAAAGCATAATAATCAATTTGATATTGATGGTTTAGATTTTTTTTTTTTTTTTTTGAATTAAAAGTATTAAGGAAAATAGTACAACTAGAAGATAACAGTTTAGTTGATACACTTAATCAAATAAAAAGATTTAATTTTTTTTCAAATGCCCAAATTGGTTATGGAATAATGTTCATAACTCATGTTACCATTGTTTCAGCGGAAAGAAGTTTTCAAAATTAAAATTGATATTATTTTACCTAAAAACAACAATGTCACAAGAAAGGTTAAATGGATTAGCTATATTGTCAATTGATAAATACTTATTAGGAGTTATTGATTATAAGAAAATTATTAATAACTTTGTATCTAAGAAAAGCTAAAAAAAATAGACTTCAAATAAATCATAAAAAAAAATTAAAAAATTAAGGCCCATCGTAAAGTTTAGTTTTAGGCCACAAAATTCGTCGGGCCGCCCCTCCATTGGGTAAGCAATATGGGGATCCCAAACACAATTATGTTATGTACACTGAGAGTATAAAGATTTCTTTGCAACTGCAAATGACTTTTAACTGTGGTAGTAGGTTAGTTACCAATTTTATCAGATTACCAGTTAATGCTTATGAAGAGATTTACCTTTCATTGCCCAAAAAATGACATGATTGTATTATACATTTTACAGCATGAGCGCACAGAATTTAAATTCATTAAAACAACTCAAACAACGATTGCTAATTCAAACAGAGTTTTGAACTTAACTCTTCCACAAAGAACAACATTTAGAAACAAATGCCTCGAAAAATCTCGAAATTAATCACAATCAAATTAAGAGAAAGTTAGAGAATCACATTTTCTTGCGGACGTCAACTTGTTTCTCCTTGCGTTCGAATTCTTGTCTGATCTTCTTCTTCTCCGCTTCCACTAGCTGCAACTTCTCAATGTTGAATTCCTAACAACAAAATCACAGCCAATGTACATTACATGAGATTAATTAAAGTCGATTTAATTCGAAATTAGAGCGTGATTTGCATAATTAAGAGGCTTACTTCTTCAGCGGAAACGGAAATCTCATTGGCTTTTTCCTCCGCTTCTTGGCGGATGAATCTGACCATCTGCTGGATCTGCTTGGATACATCTGTGTCGTTCATTTTCGGATCTGGATGAATCGAACGGTGAAATGAAGTGATTTGAGTGAATGGCTCTTTTTTGGGCTGTTTCTTTCTCAGAGAAGATATTGGAGCCTTCTAGTAGACCAAAAAAGACAGAAGCTGTAGATACATAATTGCATTTGTTGTCTTAATGCCACCCCTCTTCAGTTAGATCACTATCTTTCCCCTCGTATTTTGACAAAATTGCTATAGCAACCCCTGATGTTTATTTAACTTGCATTCAAGTATCATATTTTACTCGAGTACTATACAAAATATTTAATTTTTACTTTCCGTTATATTTTGGAGTCATTCTTACCTTTATTGCTAGCAAATTATATTATATTTACCCTTGATTTTAATAGAGCTTTCAATGTATAATGTGTAGATCTCACGTGTTAAAATATTTCGTGAAAAAAGTTCGAATTTACATAATTACTTTTGGCTAAGATGTAAAATTACCTTTTATTATACTTCAGGTTAGATCTCTATTAGGATCAATAAAAATATGAATCAATTTACTAACAATAAGGATATGAATGACCCAAAGTATTACTAACAACAAAACTAAAAAATATATTTACTAACATCAATTTTATGAATGACCCTAATGTATAAATGGGTGACAAAATTAAATGCTATTGTATAGTAGTAGATAGGTATTTTACCCTTTTGTCTTTCAAATTAAAACTACCTTTAAGTCCTCAAGTATGACAGAGTTAAACCTTCGAAGGGGAAGAGGAAACTCATGAAACTTTTCGAATTCATGCAACTATGACGTTATTTGTCTTATGAGGACTAGGAAATTGGAGATTCTTTGGATTAGGGGTGTCAATAGATATTCGAAAATGGACTAAACCGATCGAACCGTACCGTATCGAATCGATTTTTAGGTTTCTTTTTAAGAACCGTAGGTTTTTATATAAATCTATCACCGCACCGATAATTAGTGTAGGTTTTTTATTTTATAAAAATAAACCGAAAAAATACCGAACCGTACCGAATAAATTTTACATGTGGAAAATATATTTATTTGGTAAGTTTAAAAATAATAATGCATTAAATTTTCTTTGGGCCTTGAAATTATGAAAACTATTACAAGCCAACAAGTAATTACACACAAAATACTAATTCCTAAAACATATTATGCTACTTCTACTTAAACAAAGTTATTTTAAGTATCTGTATTAGCAAGACACAAAAGCAAACTACAATGTATTGAATATGTTTCCTTACATATAATTTAGATTTATCTTTTTGAATATTTTATCTTCTATAGACTTTATTCTTGAGTCTCATCTTGGTATATCTTTCAACTCGTGTGATTTATATTTTCTTTGTCTTTGTTTGATTTCTTTTACGTTGTTGTAGAATAATTGATGGATCTATACTCTAGCCATATTTTTTTTAATTCATCACCCTTTAGACAGTAAAAATGTCTAGAGAGTTTTGCTAAATCTTATAAAAGAACGTATGTTATTGCATTCTATTTCTATTAGTGAATTTTATACGATATTTAAAAAAATACCGAAAATTAACCGAACCGTACTAATACCAAAGAGAAACCGACATGATTGGAACGGTTTCGAAAAGTCTAATTTTGGTTATACATAATAAAATAACCGAAAAAATGGTATGGTATAAATTTTATAAAATAACTGTCTGAACCGAACCATTGACACCCCTACTTTGGATACATCAAAGTTCTCTATATATAACAACGGCTTAGCTGCCTAATATTAGTTGAAATTAAAGTTTCCATATTACCGTTCTGAAATCAAGATTTCTTGAATTGGAACATACAGATACGGTTTGCAAACTTTTGTACTTCCGTAATATAATTGTTAACACCAAACATAGAAGAATAGAAATGGAGGCATTGTCATGTGTAGTCAGGATGCCAGATCAAGAACCCAATTATTTTGGAGAAGCAGCTGTTGTCTAAAAAAAAAATAATCATCAGGAGCACCCGCCATATAGAGTCAATATTCATTCATGATCTTTACTTTATATACACGGATGATATAAAAAATATTCATACTATCCATATATTATTAAATGATATATCACATAATTTATCTTATTTTTTAAATTTGTAATTCTGTTATTTAAACAATTATATGTAGCTATTTTGTAGGCGATCTGATGATAATAAAATTTTCTTTACCGTCATTATATATAAAAGTTTAAAGTATCATCTCAGTCATTTTGTAATGCTTATAGCCCGTTTGGTCAAGCTTCTAAAATTAACTTATTTTGAGAAGTGTTTTTCTTAAAAAAGTACATTTCAAAAAAGTACTTTTGGTGGTAAGCAGTTTGAGTTTGGCTAATTAATTTGAAAATTACTTTTGAGCAGTAATTAGTGTTTGGCCAAGCTTTTAAAAACTGTTTCTAAGTGTATTTTTTTCAAATGTGCTTCTCAGAAAAGTACTTTTGGAGAGAAGCTGTTTTTTTCTGCTTCTCATTCTCCTCAAAAACACTTTCTTTCCTTCTAAAAACTTGATCAAACACCTCAATTTTTGAAAAAACTCACTTTTAACCCAAAAAAGTTTGGCCGAACAAGCTATTAGTTGACTCACTCTGAACAAACTTTGGACACATATAACTTAATCCTAATTCATCAGAGGAGTATCTAATAGCACTTATTAACATGTTTTAAAAATAGTAATCTAATTATAAGCTATGATTCTCTCACTCTCACAGCAGTTTATCTCGTGTTAATGCATTTTCAGGAAATATACACGGAGTTCAACGAGGTTCAGTATGGAGGGTGTATTATACATATATCATTCAGAGCACCTAATTTTTTGACTATATTTAAAAAATTTATCACCTTTTTAGTGTTTAATATTCGTTAATTTAATCTTGATATTTTAGCATTTATTTCACTTTTTAGTAGGTTCATTTAATAAAATTGAAAACTATAAAAATAACCACACTTTTGGAATATTAATGTTACTTGCAAAAAAAAAAAAAAAAAATCTACAAAAAAGAAAGAGAATGTCACGTTTTTTTCCATATAGTGATCTTTTAGAATGCATCATTTTTTGATTTTATTTATTTATTTAGTTTTTGTGTTGTTCTTATCTAGCAAATGCACTGGCCAAGCGCACGCTAGGTGTGATGAACATTTCTTGTCCTCCAATTCACCCACTTCACACCATCTAATACACACACATATCATATAAGACCTCACTCACGTAACACCTTGTGGAGAACACACACAAAAAAAGGGAGATACATTAAGAAACCCAGAGAGATAAGCAAGAAAGGGGGCAGTCGTAGCTTCTCCTCGCAAAAGAGCCAAACACACGAAAGTTACACCCAAAACCCTAAACAACTTCATCTTCCTCACTCAATAACCATAAAAACCAGCAAAAACTTCAGCCATTGAAACAACCTTTAAACTCTATCATTTGCCATGGAAATCAGCCCCAAAACAGCCCAAGAAACGCAGCACTTCAGCCCCAAAATCCAGCCATGAAAACGCAGCCAAAAGCTTCACAAAAAAACAGCATGAACATTGCTTAAAGTCAGTCGGAAACAGCCTTAAAATAACCTCAAAACCAACCCCAATAACCAGTAAAATTTCAGCCGCAAGAGGCTCATTCTTTGATTTGCTTCGCCGTCGAGCTTCGGACTGTGGTTCTCAAGTTTGGTTGGCATTTTCCATTGTAATCCAAGGTTGAAGATTCAATATTAACATGAAAGGAAATTTTCTCCATTAAAGTTTATTCTTCTACTCCCGTTTAAATTTTGATTTTATATTGTGAATATATCGTTTTGAGGCATAGAACTTGTGAAAGTTATTCATTGTGATATTGATTCTTTGTCATTTGGTTATCTGCTAGTTTGGCTTGTTTATTGCTGAAATTTTTTGAAAGTCTGTTTGCGGTTAGTTCTTGTAAGTTAAATTTCAAATTGCATATTAATTGGAACATGAGCAGAAATTTGAGTATTTCAGATCTGGTTGTAACAACCCGATTGATCGTTTTACTTTCTAAAAACCCGTTTTCCTAAATAAGACTTCTCATACTTGTTTTAACTGATTTATAACTTGCGGGATGGTTGGTTCAGGATTTGAAATAGTTTGGGTTGAAATCGGAACACTTGGTTTCTTAAGGTTGGCTTAAGAGGTCAAGTTTGACTTCGGTCAATGTTTTGAGTAAACGATTGTGGAATCGGGATTTGATGATTTTCATAGGTTCGTATTACGATTTCGGACTTGGGCGTATGTCCGAATCGGGTTTTGGGTGACCCGGGAGCGTTTTAGCGCATAATAATAAAAATTGGTTCTTGAAGGTTTTAGAAGTTCTTAAATATTTGGTTTGGAGTAGGTTTTTGTGTTATCGAGGTCTAAATAGAATTCCGAGACTGAGAATAGTTCTGTAATATCATTTAAGACTTGCACGCAAAATTTGGTATCAATCCGAGTAGTATAAGTATGTTTCGGCACGGTGAAAGTAAATTGAAGAACTTGAAGTTCTTAAGTTTGATTCATTGGTTTTGGGTGGCGATTCTTAGTTTTTGATGTTATTTCGGTGTTCTGATCACGCGAGAAAGTTTGTATGATGTTGTTAGACTTGTGTGAGTATTTGATGTGGAGCCCCGAGAGCTCGGGTGAGTTTCGGACGTGTCTTGGGAGTGAAAACACTCCAGTTTTCTAGTATTTTTGGTCAGGTGTTGCATGTCTCGCAAATACGAGGATTTGTTCGCATTTGTGAGGAAGGCTTCGCAATTACGAAGAAGCCTGAGCTGGGCAGTCATTGCATTTGCGACATTTCCTTCGCATTTGCGAACCCAGCAGTGTCCGCATTTGCGACCCTTTTGTCACATTTGCGACCCTTACAGAGGGAGCTCATGTTCGCATTTGCGATGGATTTGTCGCAAATGTGACCTTCGCATTTGCGAATCGATGTCGCAAATGCGACATCAGAGGCCTGGGCACAGCTTTTAAAAATGGGGACTTAGGTCATTTATTTCATTTCACTTCTACACTTGGGCGATTTGGGAGCTTCCAAAGAGGGGATTTCAACCTAGCACTTTGAGGTAAGATAATTCTACTTAATGTGAGTTTAATACTTGGTTTTTCGGTAGATTAACACACAAAGATTAGTGAAAAATT